ATTAAAGTCAGAATTCTGACTTTTTTCTCCATATTAAACTAAATTAAAATTTAAAAATCAGTTAACTTTTTCTTTCTTTTTTCAGTGGCCCTAATCCTCTTCCGTACTAATGGGATCCATTCTGACAAATGTTTATTTCTGAGGTTAAATTATTTCTGAGGTTAAAGCAGCAGAAACCCCATGAGATCGTGTCTCACCTTGATCCTGGGCATGGTGACTGTAGGAGGTCTGGCCTTTGCTACAAAGCTGAGGGAGGAGCCCTTCTCCACCAGGGACCTGGTGTAGGGCATATCAGAGCCCCCAGAGGGGCCAAACACAAAATCCTCCCGGAGGGCGTCCACCAGCATGAGGACCACCCTTCTGAACAGGGGCTGGGGGAGGCGGCTGGAGTTGGGAGGGCTTCCTGTGAGGTGAGAACATGTGAGAAGAGCTGGATCACAGCGAGGGGCACAGCCAGGTGGGGTGATGCTGAGGGCTCACCTGCCAGCGGCTCCGCTGGTAAATCTGACAGCCTGCTCTTGGAGGAGAAGGAAGACTTCACCGGAACCGGGAAAAATCCCCTCAGGAAGAGGGCAACGCCGACCACTTCACACACCAGGATGAAGCAGGCGAACACCGACGAGCGGACCCTCATGTCGGCGGTCTGCGGAGCGATAAACTTCCCTGAATGGACCAGTCAGTGAGAGGAGGACAGGAAGAGAGGAGCCGGAGCGGCCACACATCACCGGAAATACCTGTCTGACTGCGTGTCACACCTAAACACTTCCGTCACTCTGAACAATACCGTACAGTTCATATCTGCAGGTGCATTTTGGATTAAAAACACCAGTTAAAGCCCTGGATTACTACTTCCGCGTTTACTAACTACGGAAGCCAATGAGAACCAAACTAGACCAACGCGCTTAAAAAAAGAATTGGGTTTTTTAGTCGGTTTATGGTTCCCTGCAAAGGTGTAAAAACTACACACTTATTAACTGAAGTAAAAGCAGAGACTCCTGTTTGAAAAATAGAAAAAGCAAAAGTACAGTTAAACTCCTTTACTTAAGTAAAAACGTTTTTTTTTTATGTTTTTTGTTTTGTTTCTTTTGCCCTGAAAGGCAAATGAAAAAAAAGCAAATGTTTCTAAAAATTAAAAATATAAACTAAGAGGTCTTGTAGTCTTGTGTTGTTTTCCAATGACTTTTTATTCAGCTGTTATGACTGAAATATAAATAAATAAACTGATAAAGATCTATTATATACATTGAAGCTCTATCTCTCCATTTCCTTTTCCTGAAAAGAAATCACTCAGGACAAACTATTGAAATAACACTTTATAACTTATATGTATTAAATAACCAGGAGACAAGACAACCAGGGGCGGAGCTAATTGTGTGAATTGGCTCTTTATAAAAAACCTGAATTGAATTGATATCCAATCGAACTATCAGATCAGTGATCACTATCTTTAGTAAAAACTTTTAGATATGGTATTCACAGCATGCTGCCTCTCAGGTTCCTGGGTTCAAGTCCCACCAGTTCCTTTGTATGTAGTTGTGCAAACCTGTTTGTGATTAATAAAAGTTCAATTATAAAAATAAAAAAAACAGGGGAGTTTTGGCCTAGTGGTTAGAGCAGTGCTCGTGCTCTGAGAAGGTTGCAAGTACCTGGTTCCACTCTGGGTTCCTGAGTGACCTTTAACCCCCACACTGCTACCCAGGTGTCCCACAATGGCAGGCCACTGCTCCCCAAGGGGATGGGTTAAAAGCAGAGAGTTAATTTCTCCAACGTGAGATCAATAAAAGTTCAATTTTTATAAAGTTGCAAATATAATTGAAACAGAATCATTACACTGACATAAAATCGAACAAATCGGGAAAGGATGGGGAATGTCTTGTGTCTCAGAATCTGATCATACATCTGTAGTGTTTCCTACCCCTTCTTTATTCATGATGTTATCAATGGGCCCCAACTGGACAGATTATCTTTATGCTTTTCATTTGGCTGTTAAATCATCTTGTAATCAATGTATAGAAAAACAACAAGCCGGTGTGGTGAAAGGAGTGGAAAGAACAGATATTATGATGATTAAACGTAATAAAAGTTCAAAATTATAATAAAAATAAAAATATATATGTGAATGTATAATGAATGAGTGAATGTATAATATATAAATGAATATATAAATGAATGTACAAATACAGAGAAAAGTTGCTTAGCTACAGTAGTGAAAAATTTATATTCAGTAAATTTACAGATTAATCAGTTTATCAAGCGATTATGCTTGATTTAAGTTTTATTTAAGGTTGAGGGCTTTATGACATCACATCAATGCAGAGTCTTGACTGTATGTTGATGTCTGAGCCTCTACTGCCATCTGCTGGGAGAATTAAGTCACTGCCAGACATCTCTTTTCACATCCATCAGTCTTGTTCACAGCTTTAAGAAGAGGAGGGTACAGGACCAAGATATTGTACTTAAGAGTATCACTACTAAATCATATTTTTACTCAAGTTAAAGTAAATAAATTACTCAAGTAAGCGTAAAATAGTACTAAGCAACTGATCTACTTACTACCCATTATCATTAAAACTAATTCAATTAATTGTTTTAAGTTTACAAATTGATATAAAATTGTAAGCGTTCCACCAAAGGATGAGCAGTAGCGCCATCTACTGGACGGCAGAAACCGAACCAAAAGAAATTTAACTTTTGAATGAAACTAATCTAAATAAACTATCAAGTCAATTAAGCTGCTTACTTCCCTAATTGCAACACTTATTATCCTCAAAGAATGTGATAAAAACCATCATCACTGACTTATGTGTCTACCTAGTTTTACTTTTTAATGAAAAATAATACTCAAGTCCTGAGTGTCAACATTTCACTCATAAACACAAAGGAGAAACACTTGATTATTCCCACAATCATCAAAATAAATACATTTAGAAAAGAGGTTGCAAAGTTTATTTAAAGAATATCAAGTTAATATTTTTTTTACATTTCAGACCAAATAAGAAAACATAAATAATGTAAGATAATATATCTTTATTTATCTTTCCTCTTCAGAACACTAATAAAAGCATCTTTTGGAACTTCCACGTTGCCGATGCGCCTCATCTTCTTCTTCCCTTCAGCTTGTTTCTTCAGCAGCTTCATCTTCCGTGTGATGTCGCCTCCATACTGCACACAGTGAATAAGGAAGTAAAGCGCCTTTATTGTTTCTGCAGGACGTTTACAAAATACCTGAACTGAAACTCTTTTACTTACACATTTTGCTAGAACGTTTTTCCTGTATGCTTTTATTCTGAAAGAGCAGCAGACAGGATTTATTCTGATCAGTTTAAATACTTGGAGCAGGTGTGGCTGCTTACTGCTCACTCCAACCAACTTACGTTTCTCTTGCTATGACTTTACTCCCAATGGCTGCCTGTATGGCGATCTCAAACATCTGCCTCGGGATGGATTCTTTCAGCCGCTCACACATCGCCTTCCCTGTAGAGTAGGCGCGGTCCCTGCCGTGAAAGGAAAACACCTGCTGACTGAGTGACGTTTACATACTGTACGGAGCAGTGATAAACATTTTAACCAGCCCACAGATTCCTTCTGATCTCACCTTTGTTCTCTAACACAGTTAATGCACTAATTCAGAAATCTCTCCTAAAAGAAGAGAGTAGGTTTGAAAAAAAACTATTTTCTATATCAGGTGTTCAGCACAACCAAGCCTTTAAAAACTGGCGGCTGCAACTGAACAAATAAAACTTTAGATTTAATAATTTCAGTTAAACGGGGCACATATTGTTCTTGTATTACAACCTAATTCACGTTTCTTTAGGTTTCCAAGACAGTATAAAATCATAAACCTCCACTTTGGCTCTTGAGGGCCTAATAAATTGCTGTTAGGGGCCAGATGCTGCCCACTGACCTCGAGTTTGACACGCATGTATTGAAGCAGGGTTTTCAAAATGGGGGTCAAAAGATTGATTTTACAAAAGGAAAGTAGAATAAAAAATATAAAGATAAAAACATGATAAAAACAGGTAGAGAAGAAAAAAAAACTAGTTGGACCTCAGCCTTAAACTAATAATACCTCAGCAGTTTACCTTTATAAGTCAAAGGCAGCTAAAAAACAATGGGTTTTTAACTTTGACTTCAAAGAACTCAGGCTTTCAGCTCTTTTCCAGTCTTCTTGGAGTTTGTTCCAGATCAGTGGAGCATAGGAACTAAATGCTGCTTCTCCATGTTTGGTTCTAGTTCTGGGTGAACAGAGTAGGCTGGAACTGGAAGACCTGAGTGGTCTGGGAGGTTGATACACTGACAACAGATCTGTGATATACTGAGGTGCTGATCCATTCAGTGATTTATAGACTAACAGAAGGATTTTAAAGTCTATTCTCTGAGCTACAGGGAGCCAGAGGAAGGACTTCAGAACCAAGGTAATGTGCTCTACTTTCTTAGATTCTAGTGAGAACACGGGCAGCAGAATTTTAGATCGGTAGCAGCTGACTAATGGACTTTTAAAGCAAACTTAAGAACACACAGGTGCAGTGATCAATTTTACTAAAGATAAATTCATGAATGAGTTTTTCTACATCCTGCTTGGACATTAGTCCTTTAATCCTGGAAATGTTTTTCAGTTGATAAAAGGCTCACTTAGTAATTGCCTTTATGTGCATCTAAAGGTTCAGGTCTGAGTCCATCATGACACCAAGATTTCAGCCATAATCAGTGGTTTTGTAGATGTAGTAGCTGAAGCTGTGAGCTAAATCTAGATCTGTTTTTTTTCTGTGTAGAAAATTATGAAACATCCACATATCGATCTGTTCTAAGCATCTAACCAGCACTCTGATGGGTTCATACTCACCTGGTGACATTGTGATGTAAAGCTGTGTGTCGTCTGCATAGTTATGGTAACTGATCTGGTTGTTTGCTACAGTATAATCTGAGCTAAGGAGAGCATGTAGATGTTGAATAGGAGGGGGCCCAGAATGGAGCTTTGAGGAACCCCACATGTGATTTTTCTGGTCTCTGATTTAAAGTTCCCTACTGACACACAGAAGTCCCTGTCCTTCAGGTAGGGTTTAAACCAGTCCAGTATGGTACCAGAAGGGCCGACCCAGTTAACCAGACGCTCTAATAAAATCGAGTGATCAACAATAATACCTCCACTGTGGTTCTTTAAGGGTCTTAATTTATACGGATGTCATTGAAGAGCTTAATCAGGGCAGTCTCTGTACTGTGGTTGGCATGGAAACCTGACTGGAAGACATCAAAGCAGCTGGTTATTGTTAAGAAGGCATTTAACTGTTGAAGCGCAACTTTTTCAACAATTTCAATGAGTAAACTACTATCAGACAATGACTCAATCAACGCGTAATCTCGGAGCAGTCGCACCTTTACGATGGCAAAATGAACCCACTAAGACCTGTAGAGAAGGGTGACCACACGTACCACTTTTTACTTCTGTCTCACAAAAAAAAAAAATCTAATGGGTTAAATGAGGGAAAAAAAAAGGTAAATATATATATCTAAAGCCGCATTTCCAAAATGCAAAGAAAGCAGAGATGGGCTAGAATCCCACAAGATGACCATGCTTTAAAAACTGAACAGGGAAAGGATTTTAATCCATAATAAGATGGAAACTATGGTTCAAGAAAGATAAACAGTCACAACAGAGAATGGAGCAGTTAGGAACTGGGAGAGGCCACTTATAAAAAAATGTCAGCAGAAGCAGACCGATTGGATGTGTGCCACTGAAAGCCACGCTGATGGAGCACTGAAGCTTAGGAGGAAGTTTCCTAAAAGGAATAAAGTCTGGTTTGGTTTGAACATTAAATAGATGAGGGAAGTTGAACCTGGAGTGGCCTGGTGGGGTAGATGAGGAAAACCAGCGGGATAAATTGTGATGAATGACGGAAAAGGTTAAAGGCTAAAATAAACATCCTTAGTGATCCCGCTCTCATTGCTCACTAAACCGTACCTGTGCACGATGGTGGTGAGCTCTTCCACTGGTCGCCCATTCAGTAGAATATCCATCTTGATCAAATCGGCAGCCTGGTAACCTGCATTTTCATAGTCAAAGCTGTGGAAACAGTCGGCATTGGTGAGGCTCTGCTTTCAGAGGAAAGACGCTGGAACCAATCAGCTGCAGTTAACCCCGAGTTTAATGTCTGAAAACCCTCAGAGGGAGGATTGACTTATTTCTACCAACCACTGTTGATAAGACTGGATCTATTTAAACACACAACCACTGTTCTGAGTCTTGTTTAGAGATGTGCTATGCTTTCACTACAGTACGTACAGCTTATCGGGATTGATTAATCTCACCTGGCATATCCGGATGACATGGATTTAAGGAGATCGTAGAAATCCACAACAATCTCATTTAGAGGAAAGAGATACTTCATCATGACACGCTGCTCATCAATGTACACCACGTTCTTCTGCACCGCCCTGCGACTCTGAAAGAACAACCAAGACTTTCTGTTTCAAGGGTTCGAGTTCTGGATTAGGGCCGCTGGTAAAATGGGCCGTTGAAAAAGAAAGTTTAAATTAGGATTTTTTTTTCTCCTCTCATATTCTGAGATTATTCTGCCTTTTCCCTAAAAACTTAATTTCTCTTAATTTGAACTGTAATCTAAGAATATTCCATGTAATCTCAGTATACTGACATTTTTACTTTTAATTCTGGCTTTTTTTCCCTCAATCTGACTTTTTATTTTCAGAATTCTCTTTCTTTTAAGACTTTTAACTTTCAGCTCAGATTTTAGACTTTTTTTTTCTCAGACATCAAACCTTAATCTCAGAGTAAAACTTTTAATTTCAGATTCAGACTTTAATCTCAGAATTCTGACTTTAATCTCGGATTTTATGTTGTAATTCTGACTTTAATCCCAAAGCTTTTTATCTTTTTTTTCTCGGAATTGTAACTTTAATCTCAGAATTCCGACGTTAAGATCAGAATTTTGAGTTTAATCCCAGAATTTAGATTTTTTTTCCTCAGAATTCAAAACATAATCTAAAAAATCTATCTTTAATCTCATAATTCAGATTTTAATCTCAAAAATTTGATTTTAAAAATGTAAATATTCGCAATGGACTGGCGACCTGTCCAAGGTTCACCCCACCTTTTGCCCATAGACTGCTGGAGATAGACACCATCTCCACAGCAACCCTGATGGATGAACCAGAAGATGGATGGATGGTTTTTAAATGATCTCAGAATTCTGACTGTTTTACTTGTAATTTTGACTTTTTTCCCTCAGAATTCTGACTAATCCCATTATTGTAGGCTGCATCAGCTCGTAGCATTGTTGCCTTGTACTAGAAAAGTTCTGGATTCAACTCCAGGCCTGTTTTCTGGAATAATCCTATATTCTGAATTTAACCCCAGATTCTGACTTTTTGGCCTATAATGCCATTTTATCAATGGGAGATCTTTCAGCTGAGAGAAACAATAGTGCTGGTGTCTAAGACAGAATGGTTGCAGTAGAAAGCTGCAGTAACATCTCTGCGGCATCTTCAGGTAGGCCTCAGTGATTTAAATTTTACTACAGAAACTTATTTGTTCTGCAAAACTCACACGTCTGTCATTGACTCTGGTTGCTGTTACTAATGGATGCTATTCTGAGATTAAAATCTGACTCATTTTGTACATACTGGCCGTAATCCTCCTCTGTAAAATCCTGCCTCAGTGTTTCTGTAAAAAAATTAAATCCCAGAAGGCAGAGGTGTGTACATTCTTAGTTTCCTGGTTGTTCTTTTTAAACTTGGCTGTTAAAAAGATTGGATCTGTACAAGTGGAAGCCAACTGACCGCAGCTTATAAACCATGAAAGCCGTTACTGCCATCCATCAGTGCGAGCAGTGATTTAGGGATCTTTAACACTTTGTGCTGCCCTCCTCTTCTAAAACACTTACAAGGTTGAAGCATAGACCTCTTCACCAGGTTTTGTTTACATTTTCTTAGTAATCAAATTTAATTTCAACTCCTTCATCCTTTTTTTTTTTTTTTTTTTTCCCAGCAGACCCACCTGGAGTCCCTGTTGCTGAAACGTTTCCTCTGACCAATGAGCACATAGTTGCATCGACATTCAGTTTAGATCATTCCTCTCTTACCAAGCACAGACTCATAATCTTGCCGGTGTAAGCGTCCGGAGCCAGAATAGTCCCCAACACCATGGGCTCCAGATATTCAGACACGACCGATCTGTCCGGGAACTGAGCCGGGTTCACGATGGTGACCTCCTCACTGCCATGTTCCTGTGAGGGACACAGAGGACCAGGGGGGGATTATAGAGGCCCAAATACCAGAAGGTGATGCAGCAGCTCTCTTTTGATGAAATTACCTAAAATGGCAAAAACCACTTATCTATGGTCAACAGAAATGATAGAATATGACCTTGAATCCAGATCCACCTGCAGGCTAATCTGGACCTAACCAGATTTAAAACATTTATAAGTTACCGCATGTTGTCTGACGACAGTGTCTAATTTCACTTGCGCCGCTTCTCCTGTTAATACGGTAAAGCCCTCTGGAGAGTCCAGGACCAGGCTACAACTGATCCAAATGATCCAATGAGCTGCTGTCAGTCTGGGTTGCTGCTGCTGCTACTTTTAGACACAGCAGGCAAACCTGTGGCAAGCCGGGCGATGGGAAAGAAGGAGAAGATGATGAGAAAAAGAGAGCAGAGAAAGTGTGGACTGCTGGAAGAACTGTGGTGAACTGATGAAAGAAAAGAGAAATGGTGCTCAAAGATGACCCTGAACATTTAGAGGATGTTTGGCTCAACCTGCTGCTGTGAAGCAGGATTCTCCACCATAAACAGAATCAAAAATAAATCTGGATCCAGGCTCAAAATGAGCTCCTTGATATGTGCTTTAGAATGGCTTTGTCTCCATTCAAACCCAAGTTTAAAGCCTTGCAGGGCAGCATAAAGCCCACTGCCAACATTAAGACAGAAAAAATAAAAAAAATAAAAAACCAACGGTCAGTTCATGTGTTTTATAAAATATGTGAATCAGGAAACTGTCTATATACCAAACTGAACGCTACTCTGTGACCTCTGCCTTACTGCAGGGGTCTCCAGATTTTAGATGCATCCATACTCAACCAAACGCTTCACAGAATTCAAATGACTAAATTACCTCTTCAGCATGCCATCGTGTTAGGCAAAGGTCTGGTAGAAAGTGATGTGATTGAGCTTTGTTGTAGCAGGAATGCATCTTAAATCAATCTGCAGGACAGTAGATCTGGAGGCCCAGGGTTAGAAACTCCTGCCTTAGAGTATTTGCACCATTATTAAAACTAACAGACACTCTAGAATAGAGTAAAGATATGTGTGTTAGGAAACCTGAGGAAGGAGGAATCCGTCCCTTTAAACAGGACTGATTATTATGGAGTGAATTTTCTTCCTTATTGTTGAAGTTAAAGAAAAACAATAAATGTTTCTAAATGGAAATGTAAAAGAATACAATCAAACAACGAAATTTTGAAATAAATTCTTAATCAGAAAAAGGTGTTGAGGGTAAATGTCTCTTTTTCAAATGAAGTTTGATGAATTGTATTCTTTTCAAATTCTTTGGAATGAGGAGCAAACATTTCGTTTGGTCTGCTGGACATTAGCAGCAAAGGTTACAAAAATGGGATCCGTAAAATACAATATGAAATAAACACATTTCCTAAAAGTCAGTTGGAAAAAGATAAATTTGACAAAATATTAAATATTTGTTAAAAAACTGTTTGGAAAAAAATGCTAAAATAATTTGGAAATAAATAAAATCTAAAGAAACAGCAAAGTCACATTCAACGCCCTTCTAATTTCTATTCACAAAATGTTTTCTTAAGTTGCAACAATAATGGAGCAGATTTCCCTCCATAGATGTTTCCCTGCAGAAAAAGGAGCAGCAGGTTCTTTGATAGACTTAGAAGTTTTGAGCTCCACACAATTATTACAGCATTACAAGATTAATCCCATTTTTGCATCAAAATATTTAATCTTTAGCTGGTTTTCTAATAAAGTGCATCAATTTGCATGCTATCATAGGTGCATGCATACACCAAAAGCTGGGGCTGCTGTTTATGAGCAGCAGCACTCTGGCTAACGACTTCCTACGCTGCAACGACCACATATCATTTTAAAGAGGAAGCCAGCCGTGACACAAGCTACCTCTGATCTATGATTCAATCAAATGTTATCAGTATAAAGCAAACTCAGCAGTAAAACTGGATGATATACGTCTGAGAAGCAGCTTTTACCTTGATGAGTTTAGCCGAGGAGAGGAGCACCTTGTAGGGCACGGTGGGGGCTGTTACTATGACAGAGGCATTGTACTCCTGCTCCAGCCTCTGATTGAACACCTCCATGTGGAGAAGACCCAGAAAACCAAGCCTGACGGAAGACAAGGGGAGCAGAATGAAATTAAAATAAAAAATAAAAACTGTTAGAGGAAGCGGCTAAACTCCTCTGATTCAAAGCAGCAGTTCGGACCTCCATCCTGCTCCCAGGGCCAGACTGCTGTCTCTCTGCACTGTGACGCTGGAGTCGTTCAGGGTCAGCCTCTCGATGGCGCTTCGCAGGGCGGGATATTCCGACTGGTCCATGGGGTACATGCCTGAGGAGCAGGAAACATGAAGGGATGCACATTAGCAGCAAAACACAACAATTGCATTAAGCTGTTGAACACCTCCTGGATAGTTGTCCAGCTCCTGTTCTAATCTGATTATATTTAAATTAAATAAAAAATAACAGAACTTAAAGCGGATCAAGGAGCCAAGGATCCTACCAGCGAACACCATGGCTTTGGCTGGCTTGAACCCAGGAAGAGCTTGGACTGGCTGCTCCTGGTGGTACAGAGTGTCGCCAATCTGGGCCTCCTTCACATCCTTCATCCCCGCTATCATATACCCCACTTGGCCTGCAAAGCTACAAAAACCCACATCAGACCGAGACACAAACGCAACATCAACATGAAATCGAATATATTAATCTACAGTAGATATCAAACATATATGAATATCCCATGAAACAGATGTCCACTGTGTAAGTAGATGTAACATGTATAGATTTATTTATCTAATGCATAATTTAAATATTTATTACATATAATAAATATAAAAATGCATGACTAAATAATCAAATGTCCCATTGACTAATTGAAAAAAAACATCTAAAATGATGCTTGAAAAGTGAAATGTGATCAAAAAAAACATACACTGTGTTCATAAATATTGTGTGAAGTAATTTTTGCCATTTATAAAGTCACGGACTAAAATGTTTGGTAAATATTTCAATGCTTTCCAACTTTCCCAACAAAAGCATTAGTTTCTGGCTGTGCAAACAATCAGACAGTGCTGCAAAACAAGTTAAGCAATAAAGGTAATTTCTTCTTCTTTTATATCTATTCAGTGATTATTTCATTTTTTTGGATAGAGCATAATGACAGATGAAACCCTTTTTTTAAATCTCGAATACAAAATGTTTTTTTATATTATTTTAGAAGTTTGATGTTATTACTGCTCTAAGTAGGTCACTGTCAGTTTAAGACATGTTTTATAGTCTCTAAACACCAGTTAAGAATTAATCGATTACTAAATTACTTTAAATTTTTAAATAATTGAATAATCGCGATTAATCCGATTGTTTCAGCCCTGATATATATATATATATATATATATATATATATATATATATATATGTAAAGCAGATTCTGATACATCATTAATGTCTTTTTGAGAAAAATAATTGCACTATTCTGACAGTGCAGGAAGACAGTTACATTTGGTCAGACTTCTTGTTTTGAGAATATAAATAACATTCTGAACTTTTTTTTGTTTGTTTCTGCAACACTAGTCGCTCGTTTTTTCGACAGCAGTCTGGCAGAAAAGGGGGTAACCGCTAACCACAGCGCGTTTAGTTGAACAAGGCTAACAAAGGATATAATCAGGTAGGTAAAGGTTAAAAAGAACAATAGATGAAAACTGGACCATATTTCACTGTATTTTGATGTCTCATCTTAATTCGCCCTTTTTGAGCCTGTTGGGCTACACCTAGCCCGAATGAGAGAGGGGGAGAGACATGCGGCAAAGGACCACAGGTCGGCTTTGAACCCGGGTCGGCCGCGTCGAGGACTAAAGCCCCTGTACATGGGTTGTGCTTGCAAACCACTGTGCCACCTGCATGCCCTTATTTTAAACTTGCACAAAAAATATAATTACTTTTTACACTAAATTATTATAATGTTGAGAATAATATTCATCTATTATATGGAATGAACGTTCTCTGCCACATTAAATCTCCTTATTTTGCAGCCCTTTAACGTTTTTGGGGGATCATGCTTTCTCATTCCATTGATTAGGCCTTTTTCATATACTCCAACTTGCCTTATAATCCAGGCCGACTTAATTCTGAGTCCAGTTCACTGACTGATGTCACCTTAAAATCCTGAATAAGTCAGTAACTATTTTAAACCCGCTTTCTGAAGTGAGCGCCCTGGTGCTGTATTTATAAAAACCTGGTAGTTTACATGTTGGAATCAGCCGATGAGCAAGAAGTGTTTTCATCTATTTTCTTTTGTTGATGTTTTTTTTTTAAGTTTGCTAGTATTGAGGGTAAAATCCAACAGACTGATTGATAATATTTAAACCCGTACAGCTTCTGCGTGGGATGCTCCTCCGGCCGCAGCAGGCCAAGCTCGTTGACCTCGTAGGTTTTACTGAGATGTGCTGAGACGATCTTGTCCCCTTTTTTCACCCGACCTCCAAACACTGCGATGTTGGCCACCACTCCTCTGTAGTGGTCAAAGTTGGAGTCAAACACCAGCGCTTTAAACGGCTCACTGATGCTCCCAGCAGGTCTGGGGAAAAACAGACAAACACGTCAGATTTCCACAGCATAGGGCAGCGTTCAAGAGCGAGATGCAGCAAACCAGCTAATCTTACGGTGGAATCCGTTCGACAACCGCTTGAAGAACCGCTTCAACATTGGTTCCCAGTTTGGCTGAAATCTGGCGCACAGGGAGACACATTTCTGGGGAAGTGTGCAGGAAACAATACGTGGAAACAGTGAAGATGTCCTGCGTGTTTTACCCTGAGGCACTCCTCCCGTGGAATATCAAACACCTTTTCTATCTGAGACTCCACTCGCTCCGGATCGGCGTTCTTTAAATCAATCTGAGGAAAAACATCTTAGTCACCTTCCTGCTGCAGATCACTGGGAGAATAACTGTGACACTGACGGTTCTGAAGGTACCTTATTGATCACAGGGATTATCGTCAGTTGGGATTCAAATGCCAGGTAGAAGTTGGCCACCGTTTGCGCCTGAATTCCCTTTTTTAAAAACGACAGCAGATCAGCGTCGTGAAAAGGTGAAGCATGAAATCCTAACCAATTAAAGAAATATTTATTACCTGATTGGCATCGATAATCAACAGGACACCCTGGCAAGCAGAAAGGGAGCGAGACACTTCATAGCTGAAGTCAACATGTCCCTGGGGAGAGAGAAGAGAAGCTGCGTCTAACATTAAAAGTTTTCATGATAAAGGAACTTGTCCCATCTAGTAATGCAAATCCAGTCCTTAAAGTCGTAGGGAAGTGGCCGTTCCAACCGTTGCATTTATGAATTCTCCCGAGTGGTGCACGGCTTTGCACGAGTGAATAAAGTGACTTTGATTGGTTGTTTATCAAGGGGACGGGATTGTTGTGCCGGAAGGTTCGCAAGCAAGTTTGGTTGTGGCCGGGTTGTCGGAAGCATCTTGCTAACCAGTTAGCAGCTTAGTGCTAGTAGGTTCCCAATGGAAAGACACTGACTTCCATCCCCGTGAACACACTCAATGGTAAAGGAAATAATTCTTTTTTCTTATTTTAACCGTTGCATATATTAGCTGCTACATATGAATCAAGATGCTATGACCGAAAAAAAGTGATTGACAGATGACCGTTGATATATGATCGGCCGAATTTAGGTGTTCAGACTGACGTATAACTAACTGGCCTGAATAAGATAACAAAAAACCCCACAGATTTTAAGACAGGATTTCTTTTAAAACTAGAAATTTTCAAAATTTTGGGACAATATCGTCTGTCGTTTAAGCCAGAATGATTTGACATTTAAATATGATTTTCCTACGGCTTTAAGAGTTCCCATCCCGCCACCCTGAACATAAGGAGTGTCTCTTTAACAGGCCTCTGATGGGCTGAATGAGCTGCTGTTAGATCCAGGGTGTGTTGCAGAACAGGATCCTCTAAAGCTAGGTTCCCACTGCAGATCTGGATGCTTAAATCTTTGGGTTTTTTTATTTTTCAAGGGGAAACAGAAGCCATTTAATGTAGCAGAAGGAGCTGTGTGGGAAACACATGGATAAAAGGAGAGTGAAACTCTTCGTTGTGGTGTTTTAGGGAGATCTGATCCATTGTTTGCCTCATCAGAAGGAGACGCAGAGTTTCTGAGGTGAAGTGTTTTTCATTTATTTGGTCTAGAAGAACATTTTACTTTATTTAGGTTTCATGAACAGACGCCTCTGTGTAAAATGCACTAAAGATATATGGTCTTATTTTATATAAATTCAAGAAAAAATATGAAGATAAGGTTAATGAAAGTGTTGTTTTAGGTATAAGTATTTTTAAAGGAAAGAAAATTAACACTATTTATCATGTTTCTTCCACCTTACAATTATGCACTATCTTGCATTGTTCTGTCACATACAAAATACTTTTTAAGTTGCAGCCCAGAAATATGAAGAAGATAACAAAAATGCACCAATTCCACCAGGTTCTGAATTTCACTAAAGACAGACCAGAAATCCAAAGACGAAGGCGGGAATTTTACCGGCGTGTCGATTAGGTTGAGGAGGTACTCCTGTCCGTCGTGGCTGTAAAACAGGGAGGCCGTCTGGGCCTTCACAGTGATCCCTCTCTCCCGCTCCACTTGAAGCTTGTCCAGAACCTGCTTGTTCTTCTCAGTCTTTGCGATGGCTCCTGTTTACCAACCACATCAGCAGTTAATGACAATTCCAAAGCAGCATGAGCACACATTCATTTCAAACCTGCAAACATCGTGCTGACAAAATGGCAACGATAATAATAGCGGATTTTATGTAGAGGGAACATTCAGAGCATTTAAGGTCACCTTACAAAATGTCGATCTTAAACAAACAAACGCTCCAAAATGCTTTAACTTTACATTAGACGGGGATAAAGAACTAGCTTTCCACACATAAAATGGGTGAAACATATAAGATTGCAGGTAACAGGTTGATCTCAGAGCTAGACCAACACAGTATGATATTATCTAACCGATATTTATAGCAGTGGGTAGCACTGCTGCCTTGCAGCAAGAAGGTTCCGGGTTCGATTGCCGGCCCTTTCGATTGCCGGGTCTTTCTGCATGGAGTTTGCATGTTCTCCCTGAGCATGCGTGGGTTCTCTCCGGGTACTCTGCTTTCCTCCCACAGTCCAAAACCTTGACTGTTAGGTTAATTGGCTTCTATAAATTCTCCTTAAGACGAGCTTCCACTGTGCAATTTCAGACTAATTGTGCATCGTACATCCTGTAGTGTACAATCAGCCTCTCACGACCACCTCCCGATCAGGAATTGTGAGGTCGGGATAAAAATCAAACATGTTAGATTTTCAGTCGGCCGTCGTGGGCAAATCGCTCAGTGCCCAAACAAGGATTCTTCCTCTTCTTCCTCTCAGATTAAAACACAGAAGCATGGCGGGGGTGAAATGGAGTTCTTTCTGTAAAACTGTCAGACTGTAGTAGCCACGTTTCCTCAGCCATTTCTTTGTCCAAACATGTCGCCTTTTCTTTTTAGGGCTTTCAGCACAAAATTGCATAAATCGCCAAGGCAGCAAGTTTTACTCTAGTGAGCTTTATATTCCTCTTCTACTCGTTTGGCTTCTGGATAGACGAGTCCGAGTAGCTCCATCTCACTGCAGAGCTGAGGCCGACGTGGTTTTTAGACATACGGTGTGAGCAGGTAGATCGCATCAGAGCGTTGGGCCGCACAGTGTGAGAACAAACATCATGAGCTGTAAACTGACACTGTAAAGTAGCCGCTTGCATTGACTGGAAAAATTGCAGTGTTTGCTCAGCTTTCAGTGTGAGTTTGTTCGTGAATGGTTGTTTGTTCCGTTTCTCTCTGTGTTGCCCTGCGATGGACTGCCGATCTGTCCAGGGCGTACCCCGCCTCTCGCCCATTGACAGCTGGAAACAGGCACCACTCGGGACCCCAGCTGGGACAAAGCATGATGGAAGATGATGGGTGGATTTGCTTTATTCCCCCTTCTATCAGAATCAGTTGATACATCAGTGCATTCAGCATCATTGCGATGAGATCAGATGAAGCGCATGAATGCAATACCTGAGGTTAAAAATGAGGAAAACTGCATCCAGGATTCAGACTAGCAATGCTCTACTCATGTTCAGTTAAATGTGTTCTCTCATCAGCTTTTGCTGATTATTAACTTACGTAACAAAAACATTTTCTGTACCGTTGAAATATACTTAATACACACATGTCCATATATGTGACACAGGCTTTCATAGGGTGTTTTTTTTTTTTTTAGCGACTGTATGTATGAGTATCTTTTGTTGTGTTATGTAAAAAACTGCTTTTCAAAGTGTGCAAGAGTGCAGCCATTGAGAATTAAAACCAAACCAACTATGTCTTGTAATGCCACCATAATACCATTTTAAACTGTGGCCCTCGGTTGGTTTTAATAGAGGACTGTTAACCATTTCCTACGTTGTTTTGTTTGTTATGATGCAGAGCCTCAAACCAAAGCAACCTGAGACAGAATTTAACAAACAGTGTTTGAGAGCCTTTGCTAAACACTCCATGGAGCCTTTAGCAAAGCACATAAGATGTACCTGTCATTTCCAACAGCCTGTCAGCCAAAGTGCTTTTCCCGTGATCGATGTGTGCAATGATGCAGAAATTCCTGATTTTGTCCACAGGGAATTTTGACAGGTCGATGGGATCCTTGGGAAAAACAAAGAGCAGTCAGCTTACTCTATTAAATGTAACAACGGTGTATTAATCCAACATTCACTGCCACTGATCCACACACCACTAATCTAAAGGACTCTTAGTCATAGGCGGTTCTAGGCAGGGGCCAACAGGGGCCAGAGAACTGATCCTGGCCTCTGTAATGGCCCCTGTACTTAAAAAATACACTACAAAAAAGTGACATATAAGTCAATTTTCTTTAAAAGGGGTGTATTTTACTCATTTTTCCTGTTTTTCCTTTCCTGTTCTGCTTATATTGCAGTGTCCATATAATCTGTAATACTCCCTGCATGAATTATAATAAAACAATTTATATGCATAAATCAAG